TGGCCCTTTCTTTTTTGTTTTGTTTTGGGTTTTTTTTTTTTTTTTGAGACAGGGCCTCACTGTGTAGTTGAGACTGACCTGGAACTCACCATGTAGCCTCACTCACAGGCTGGTCTCGCTCACAGTGATCTTCTTGCCTCAGCCTCCCGAGTGCTGGGATTACAGGTGTGCGCCAGCACTCCCGGCTCCCCCATGTCTTTTTGAGTCAGGGGCTGGCCTAATAGTTCAGGCTGACCTTGAACTAGCAGTCCTCCTGCCTCAGCCTCCCAAGTGCTGGGATTACGAATGTGTGCCACCAGCCCTGGTTTAGATGACCTTTCTTGAAGAGAAGGGTCCCTGTACCTTCCTGCCCTTTGGGACAGAACAGAGTAGCCTGAAGTGCATGGGGAGGACCCCCGTCGTCCTCATCAACCTTGTCCCCTCTCCCTAGGTAGGCTCATGGCTGCAACCTGTGAGATTAGCAACATTTTTAGCAATTACTTCAGTGCTATGTACAGCGCGGAGGACCCCAGCCTGGCCCCTGTTCCCCCTGTTTCCACCTTCGGGGCTGACGACTTAGTGCTGTCCCTGGGCAACCCACAGACGTCGCTGGAGGGCACCGGTGGGTGAAGCGAAATGGGCGCCTTCTGGGCAAGGGAGACGTTTGTCCTGAGAGCCTGCGGGCGGGGGTGGGTGTGAAGGGCTGAGAAGGGACAGACCAGAGCCTCGAGTCCTCTCCTGTCCCCCCGTCCTGTAAGGGAGGTGCACCGGGCCTGCGCTGTGGTCCCGGCGTGGCTGTTGCCAGCCCTGTGCTCTCCCTGGCCCGCAGAGAAGGCCAGCTGGTGGGGGGAGCAGCCGCAGTTCTGGTCGAAGGCCCAGGTTCTGGACTGGATCAGCTACCAAGTGGAGAAGAACAAGTACGACGCCAGCGCCATCGACTTCTCTCGGTGTGACATGGACGGGGCCACTCTCTGCAGCTGTGCCCTGGAGGAGCTGCGTCTGGTCTTCGGGCCTCTGGGGGACCAACTCCACGCCCAGCTGCGCGATCTTAGTGAGTCCGCGCTTTGGGGCAGGGGCAGCCAAGGGCCCGGGGGGCCGGGGAGGGTTGGCCCTGGGCTGGACCCTAAGCCCCATCCGGAGGGCGCAGCCAGAGGGCGCAGCCTGAGGGAGCGGTGGGAGTGACTCCTCCCCCCATCAGCCTCCAGCTCTTCCGATGAACTCAGCTGGATCATTGAGCTGCTGGAGAAGGACAGCGGTGTGGCCTTCCAGGATGTGCTCAGAGACCCGGGCCCCTTCGGTGAGGGCACCTGTCCATCCCGGCGCGCTCCGGACACCGCCCCCCTGGACACCAGGTGCTCAGACAGCCGCCCCAAGCCCTGGCTGAGCTCGCCCCTCTCCCCAGACCAGGGAAGCCCCTTCCCCCAGGAGCTGCCGGAGGTGATGGAGGACGGCGGCCAGGCCAGCCCCTACTACGCCGCCAGCTACGGCACCGGCGCCCCCTCCCCAGGCTGCTCCGAGGTCTCCACCGCAGGTAAGAGGCCTGGCTGGGTACAGCGCCCCGGCTGCCTTGCTGCTGTGTGCCTGGCTCCCACCCCGGCCCAGGGCGCTCACTCTGCTGCCCCCGACCCAGGGACCGGCACTCCTCAGAGCTCCCACTCCTCAGACTCCGGTGGGAGTGACGTGGACTTGGACCCCACGGACAGCAAGCCCTTCCCGAGAGGTGAGCCCTGACACCCCCAGCGGAGCCTCTTCCCTGCTCCCCAAAGCAGCCCCTCACCCTACCTGACCTTCCTTGGACCTGCTGCCCACAGATGGCTTCCCAGACTATAAGAGGGGGGAACCCAAGCATGGGAAGCGGAAACGAGGCCGGCCCCGGAAGCTGAGCAAAGAGTACTGGGAGTGCCTGGAGGGCAAGAAGAGCAAGCACGGTGAGCCCAGGGCACGGCATGGTGCACCCCCTTGCCCCAGGGGCTGTCAGCTCCAGTGAGAACCCAGGCTCTGGTGACCTCATTGCAGGGGGCCTAGGGAGGCGGGGAAACTGAGGCTCACAGAGGAGGCGCATGCAGGGCAGGAGTGCAGGTTTCCCACCCGCACACTGCAGCTCTGTGCATTTGGCAGCTCAGGTGTCCCTGACTCCAGAACCAGCCTGGGGCTGTGCACCCTTGGGAGGGCACCTGAAGATCTTGCCTCTCCCGTCGTCCCCCCACCACAGACACACACACACACACACACACACACACACACACACACACACACACAC